TATATCCCGATTCGAATCTTGATTATATCCCGATCAGGATTTGTACCCCAATCGGGATAATCGTATAGCCCGATCGGGATAAATACCCCGTTCGGGATATAAGTCATGACTCCGCACTGACGGGTGATGCGTAACATAGAAAATACTGATTTTTTAATTTTATATTTTTTGTAGTTTTGTTATCAACGTTTCTACAGCACTTTCTCTAAATAAGCATTACATTACATTTTCACTGGCATAGCATTATATAGCTAAATTAAAGGCAATATAAGAAACAAAAATTTAAAAATAATTGTAGCTCTTCTTATTCTTGTTTATTGTTAAAAGTCTGTTAAAATTAGAAAAATTGAAATTTTGAAATACACAATTTTTCGACCTATTTATATGGTCATTGTCAAACATTTATCTTGTATAGAACGTTATACTGCAGTAAAAAACAACATGTATTAAACATATACATATTCCTTCTTTCTTTCCTAGTATGTGTTTTGCTAATCTGTCTTTTCAAAAGTAAATAAATGAACAAGATGCAGCAAAGAAAAAATATTTATTCAGTGATACACCGCCCTCTCGATGTTGGCAACAGAATAAAATTGTCACAAGGATCTTTCTTTTTCTCTTCTCATTTGGTTTGTAAAGAAAAAGTAGAAAGTTAAGTTTATATATTTCAATTTTGTCGTACGTACAAGAAAAGAAAACGAAGGAAGGAATATGTATATGTTTAACCCATTTTATTTTTTACCACAGTATAACGTTCTATACAAGATAAATGTTTGACAATGACCATATAAATAGATCGAAAAATTGTGTATTTCAAAATTTCAATTTTTCTAATTTTAATAGACTTTTAACAATAAACAAGAATAAGAAGAGCTACAATTATTTTTAAATTTTTGTTTCTTATATTGTCTTTAATTTAGCTATATAATGCTATGCCAGTGAAAATGTAATGTAATGCTTATTTAGAGAAGGTGCTGTAGAAATGTTGATAACAAAACTACAAAAAATATAAAATTAAAAAATTAGTATTTTCTATGTTACGTACCTCCAATGTCCATAGGTGTGGAACTCCATTTCTATGATTGGTACATAAAGGCAACTTGACAGGAAATTGTTTTTTTCTGTTCAGTTACGGACAGAATCGTTATAGCAATAGTAATTGACCGCAGCATCTAAAAACCCTTTTATGGCCAAATCTGTGGGAAAAGTTTGAAACTCTTTAATTCAGAAGTTAAATATCTCGGTCAAGACTCCCCAGATCGAACAATACGGTACGTAAACGACCGTATTCGACTAAATTACGGCGATTTTCAGCCTGGAAACGGTGACCGTATATGGTGCACAGTATTACGGTTTAATTACGCTATAATACGGTGCCGTATACGATGTTCGTTTACGGTGCTACGTAAATGCACCGTATTCAACCGCCGTATACGCGATGTAACTAGGTGAAACTCATCTTATAAGACCTCACAAGATCTGCCATTTTCTTATGAAATCTTGTAACAAGATCTTACTGTATTATCTTACAAGATCTTGTCATTGAGAGATGTGACTTACATTTATCTCTTATCGCAAGATCATACGATTTCTTGTTATAAGATTTTAGATGATCTTGCAAGAATCGATGATTCATTCTTACCACATAAATTTTGCTATGATGTTGAGTATATTATTATATAACATAGTTCTTACGATAAAACTTAAAATTTTTTTCGTTCTTCAACTTCAGACATTCGCTGAGCGCAAATAAAGTGCATGGCTATAAGGAACGTGGTTAAACATCCTAAGGATGTTTGTGTCCCACCTATGCCAGAAAATATTATGAATAGAGAAAGATACTTTTTTAAGAGGGTCTAAAGGAAATTTATAGAACACGATCAGGCATATAATCTTGTAAGATCTGATGAATTCTCACATGATCTGACAATAAAACTAATATTAATTAGACGAAAGCAAAGGTATCGTCCGACTAATTCCAGACCGTGAAGCGTCTATATACGGTAGAAATACGGTATGCTTACGATCATTTACAGAGCTTATATGGCTGTATACGATGATTTTATTTAAGCCGTAAACACGCCGTATACGATACATCGTAAATACGGTCGTAAAACACCGGTCTGGTTTACGGTAAAATACGGTGCGCAAACGGCCCGTATTTAACCGTTTACGGCCATAAAGACGGCGTATTCGCATCGTGTACAACCCGTATACGATAACCATAAAAAACCGCCAGGGATCATGGAAAAAAATTTCTATTTTTACCAACTGATAGATTATGAAGGCTATTAGGTTCGAACAATATCCAGTTTTTGATACGATGCTTCGTTATTTTTCTATATCAATTTTATCAATGTCCACGAGCGTGGACAGGCGCAAGTAAAGGGTTAATTTTCTTACCAATTACAAGAAGTTTCAAAAGGATACTAACGCATAAGCCAAACTAAAACTTCGATCAAAGAAGTTATCCAGAAACAAAAGAAAAAACACATGTAAATGAGTTATACCAGAATTCTAATAGAATCTGTTCAAAATCAGTGCAGTCTATTCATGCACGGTAGAAAAACAAGTTCCATACAGCACTTGGTTTTTTACAGTTTAGATTGGTATAGAATATTGACAGATTCTGCACAGGTCACTTGCAAAGTTTGAACAGTTACGTTTACAAATATTCTTCTCTACATATTTAGCAAATCGTTGACCGCAATATGTTATAAATCTCGAAAATGTATGAAGAATCTGCCGATATTATGTAACAATTTGCAACAACTCTATGCAGGTTTTGCACAAATTTGCAAATTACAAAATCTCCACATACATTTTACTAAAATAGTTCAGTAAGAACGCCAAATCAAGTGATACTAACCTTCAATTACAGACACACACAATCTGAGTCATTACAATCGCCCACTAAATCATATTTGGAGGTTTTTATCCAACAGATGAAAATAGTAGACTATAGCACAAATCTCGCACAGATTGATGACTGATCAGCTGGTAATATAAGGTAAGAGTTCACGATATATAATATGTTGATTCGTGTGACTGTTGTAAGCCACAAGTCATATATATATCGATATTTGTAATATTATCAGTATAATTGTTATACTATGTTGTACTGTAGAGGCAGTCTACATTACCTTTCTCTCTTGAGCACTCGTGACAAATCACAGGCGACATCTTATAAAGATGTTTACGAGATATTAGAGACTAAAAGACGTGTTTTCATTGGTGAGACAACTCAACGACACCTATTCAGTTTGCTTTGCTGCCGATGATTTAATTAATTTTTTAAGAAATTGAGTAATAATATAAAGAGTTTTTTCTAAAGTACAAAATCCCTCCTTGCTCTAAAATGCAAAATGAATTAGCTAGGAAAATATTTTATACAAAAGAAATCGGACTAGTCAGACTTCGCTGTCTGTTTAACTGTAAATTTGTCCTTTTCGGTATGAAGTCTCTTTCCCTCTAACTGGATACGATTAGAATAGGAGAGATAGTTTGATTGATATTGACAAAAATCTGATCGAGTGCTCGTCGCATATGCGCAACTACTGATCTAACGCTCAACAAAAAAAAGTGCTTCCTTTCGTGATTCTTAGACGTTTCTTTTCGACAGTTTTTTCTTGCCTTAAATACATTGCAAAAGAATTGTAATCAGTAATCATCCATTCAAAATAAAATTGAGCTTGTAGTCGTCTAAATGCACCTAGACCCAGGGGGGTGTTTCATAAAAATTCTTAAGTGCTCGACTTAACTAAGTCTAGGCTTAAGTCAGACTTAAGTGTATAAAATTAACCGTGAGTGTACAAAATGAAGACTTAAGTCGAGCACTTAAGAATTTTTATGAAACACCTTTCTGTTTTTTATCTTGTGATTGTGTATGAACTTGATGCATGTTGATACAGTCATTGCAAAACCGTGTTGTTGAATCTATTGACACTTTGAATTTAAGAGCGATTGCACATCTACCAAGAACAACATTATTAAAATCAATTCATTCCTAATATTGATTGACAGTAGTAAACTGCTTGCGCTTTAGCTGGATCATCGAATGACATTGTATCACCACATTGTTTGTGTATTTTGGCGCTCTCGATTTAAGTTTTCGTTTGAACACTTGAATCGGAGTGGATAATCAGTATTGGCTCTTCTCAATGAGTTCGATTGTCGTTTAAAGTACCACGGGCACTTTTTTTCCGTGTAGTATGAATTATATTTGTAGATTTGGCTTCAGCTTTAAGACGAATTTGTCGAACTTTTATCTTGTTTAAATAATTCTGCTTGTACGGGTGTTATGCGTGTAGCATTATTAGTATTAATCAATAATTGTAACGGTAGTTCTGTTGGACTGTTATACCATCATCATCATTTTCAATTCTATCTTGCTGCCGAGATTGGCGAAACATCAGGGATATTCATATTAAAAATATGTTTAATAGTCAATTTTACACAGACTAATAAGTCATCTTTCTTTCTTTCTTTTAAACGGAAGTTCCTTAGAATAATTGAGTGGGATTTCTTTCTCAGCGGGAGAAACGGAGTATAATTTCAAAATGAACACCCACTGTGCTGTTGTTTAAGCCATCAATCATTTAAAAAATTACTGTACGGCGAGAGAATTGTAGTATAGAAAAAGAAGTACTTTTTTTCAATTTTTAATTTATGTTGCGCAGATAATATGTACTGAGACTGAGTTTTTTAACTTTTTTAAGTGATAAGAGATACTACCATCAGCTTCCAACTCGTTTTTGATATTTCAAAACTTCTACTTAACAGACTAATGCAATATTTAATTGATTATCCACTATTATCTACTTGTTTCTATTAAGATTGATCTGTATATTGTACCTCCTACACGTATAACAATATGGAGGATCCAAATGATAAACTAGGCACAGGAGAAACTCGTTGGCTACACGAGGATTCAGAGCTGGTGTCTGGCCGTGGTGCGGAATATGATGTTCAGGTTTGAAACAAGAAAACAAATATATCAGATTTAATGAGTATAATGTGTTCTCTATTACAGTATATTGGCTCAGTAGAAATTTTATGTTCGATGAAAACGTTGGATTTCGACAATCGTACACGTGTCGCAAGGTAATAAAAATGTTAATTTCTAACTTGGTATCGAAAAAAAAAATACTTTTTTTCTATTTTAGAGAATCTATTCGTATTGTATGTTCAGCTACTGGAGTGCAATTGAAAGATAGACGAAAAGTAGGACGATATTTCGTTTTTCTCAATACACACTAACATTTTTATCTTTTAGTCTGAACCATTTATATTATCGGTAATTGCACCAAAACCAAATATTACGCATAGTGGAACGCCTGTTTTACTTACCATTGATACAGAGGCATTAAGTCTAAAACGACTGCCAGATTCGCAAGTAAGATGGAATCGCAATAAAAATGAGAAAATACAGTTTCGAGTTTTGTATGAATCTGTTTTGTATATAGGTTAACTGTTGTTTTCTTCCCAATTATTTCAGATACTTTGCTCGCATAAAATGGAAGGCATATCATTTGCTAGTGCTGGCGAACATGTAAGTTAGAAACATAAACAAATGTACTCCTTATTTTATTTTATTTATCATTATTTTTATTAGGAAACAAAAGATTATATCGCTTATGTAGCAAAAGATAATACAAATAAACGTGCATGTCATGTATTATCGTGCAATGAAAATCAATCATTGGATGTTATAACAACGATTGGTCAAGCATTTGAATTACGCTATCATGAATATATGCAAGCTCAAAAGATTGATAGAGGGTATGCATTTATTTGTTTGACGAAATATGAATTGAGTTATATACTAGTATCCATTAGGAATCTCTTACTGTTCGTGAACATATTGAATTAAATTATGGATATTCGTTTTTATGTCGTAGTCATTTGTATCTCATTTGTTTAGATTATCAAAATCGTTAGAAAAAAATGTAGACGAAAATTTAGAAGATAGATCGAATCAAGTATGTAAACAATAAGTAATAGTTCTACTACACTAAGCGTTAAAATAACAGTAAGTTACAGTGATTTACCTAGATTTCATAGATTTCGGAGAGATAGATAAATGTTTTGAGGGAGCTACTATCTGAAATGCTATTTTTTGCCAAATTAAATGTTGATTTTCGACATGACAAACTGAAAAAACAATGGAACACCGCTAGTTCGCTGGATAAATCACTGGTAAGCCATCTGGTTATTTAAGTCGCCTCTAGTGATTATTTACGTATCTCAATTCCCTACGGTGTTCAAGAAAAATATGAAATTTTCTTTTTATTATAAATTTAGAAGTTGGACGACAATCAAAATCGTTCAAAATTTTCCAATAGCCATACAGGTAAAATGTTCACATTTTATTTTCAACCATAAAGGCATTTTATACTACATTAGTTTTTTCGGAAACGGTGATTAAGAGTAGGCAGATATGGACGCATACACGGAGTTCTGAATACGAGTGCTGAGGGTAGAGTAGGAGTATGAGTGTTTTCCGAAAAGTACTACGAGTACCGAGTACGAGTACTAGAAATTTTGTACTTGAGTACGAGTATATACTCGTCCATATCTATAATTAAGAGTTACTCTAATGCTTTACGCATGATATAATTCTGTAACTGATGTGTTCACAATTTCACCGTTATGATTTGTTAAAAAATTGCATTTGATTTAATTATGTTTTATTCATCTTAGAAAAGAATATTTACATACTTTTACGTAGTACAAACAGAAAAAAACCTCTTACGAGTAACCGCTCTTTCTTTAGTCGATTAACTCAGATATTTTATTATAGAGACAGGCCTTTATTGATATCCTACACTTTTGTACTTATGGGCGTGAATGAACATATTTCAAATTATCTATTCGATAGTTATATATAAAAATTTTTTATTTTTTTGGTTTAGATGATTGGCGACAAACGAACAGTCTTGACCAAGTTTATAAGGAACCTTGGTGTCATGGACGAATAAGTCGAGATGAAGTGTGTAACTAACGTTAATAGAATATGCCTATTGCTATTTAATAGTGAAAAGTTTAATTAACAAAATAAAATGAAATTTGTTCTATTTTTTTCTTTTCTTCTAGGCTGAAATTTTGTTACCGAATAGCGGAGATTTTTTGGTACGTGAGAGTGTGAAAATACCTGGCCAATTTATATTATCCGGACGTTCCAAAGATACATTTAAACATTTATTACTCGTCGATCCACAAGGAGTTGTATGTAGAGAGAATAAAATTGATCGTCTTCTTCTCTCTAAAATGTACACTCTATTTATTCTAGATACGAACAAAAGATTCAGAATTCGATAGTATTAGTCATTTAATAGAATATCATAAAAAAGGCAATATACCGATAGTTAGTGCTGATATTGAACTATTACTATTGAATGCAATATATCAAAAATAGATTTTTGAATTCTAAAATTCTATCTGCACTGTACTTTACTATCTCATTTGTTGCTTTTACTTTTACGACCTTTTTCTTTTTTAATGAATGTTCAAATTTTCAGATCAAAAACAAAATTTTATAGTTTGTTTTCATGTATAATATATTACACTTTCATTTCTTATTGTATCCAGAATTTCTCACACCCATATTTTGGACAATCGCTTAATAACTATTAGAATTGAACCTTGCAGAAAAATTGTGAACGCATGAATTTTTTGTAATTGAATAGTGACCTTTTTGCCACTTTTGCAACTATAAGTATATGACGTTACGATTTCTTCTTCTCAGGATTCTATTTCATTTTATATTCTTTTTTTTTATACAGAGACTCATAATCGAAATTAGTTTTAATGATTTTGTTCAGACTTTTCTTTCTTTTTTTTTTATTTAAGAAAATACTTATGCGTAGCAACTATCTAGGACCACTAAAACATCCGTTCTTTTTCCATTTGAAATGTGTGTTAACTGAACAGTTTTTATTCCGAATATATTTATGCATACTTGTGACTCAGTAAACCTTTTTTTTTATGATTTAAATCGTTTTGTGTTTATTTTTTAAACACATATTGTCATTAATACTTGAACCTGTTGTTGTTTTCTTCGTGAAATAATCAAAATAATCTTTTTGTTATTATTTTTTTGTCATTGTAAATTAGTTTCTATTATTTATCTGTAGAACTTCTTTTGTGTTTATTCTGCTTATATTTGCTTACTCGATCAATTTTTTCTTGTTAGCTATTTTTATAAATAACTTTTTTTCATATATAAGAATAAAATAGTACGCATTAGTTTTGTCTCTTAAATGATTCATATTTATTATCGTAAAAGAATACTTCTTATATTTAACTTTTTCAGTTATTTTGATCTTGTCATGTAATTTCACTCCACACTGATAAATTGATTATATTTTAACCTTCTATACAATAGTAACACATCTAAAATTGAATTTGGTTAGGTATGTCTAAAGAATAAGAAAACACAAGAAGTGTGTTCCTCAAAAGAAAAATATGTTTACTAAGTGTTTTCATCTTGTTAATCATGTCATATTTTAGTTAAGATAAATTTCATTAGACGGTCCTATCTCACTTTCACATCTAGAAGTGAACGATTTGATTTCTATAAGAAGTATAAAGTTGAAATAAAATAAATAATATGTGTTGAGATTACAACAGGTAACACTTCTAATCATTGAAGTTGACAAGTTTTTATTGTTTTCTAACTTTTCGTTATTCAATTCATTTACATCGTGTTGGTATTATTAGATGATTTTTATTTGATTTTATGTTTGTTATAAACTTCAATGTCTATTTTTTCTAGTTCAGCTACTTAGATTGACTAAACATCTAGAACAAAAATTTATTTTTCAAAATTATCTTTTTCTTCATAACTCATCTCACTATAAGGACTACTCCTTTAGATTAGAAACCTATATTGATAACTATAGTATTAATCCCGATCAAAACTTTCAGGAAAAGTTGATTATGTAAAGTATGATGATGAAAGTTTTTATGGCCGCTCCTATTTATCTTTGCTTGCGCGATGTTGCCACGACCCAGAGTTAATAGGACGTTTTTTACATGTACAAGAATTTTGCATTCTAGACAGATGAGGGAAAACCCATATTAGTTTTGTTTTATAGAAAGTCTTATGCTTAAGAGTTGACAGAGTCTGATTTTTCATTTTTTGACTTTTTATTTCATCATTGTGTAGTTAGCATAAGTCCGAAATCGCAAAAATTGTAGAAAATATCCTCATTTCTTTCAGATCGAATCGTAATCAAAAGTCGGACTCTAACACCTTTTATTCATTTTTATCTAATGTATCATTACTGAGAAATTCTGCATATGGTGAAAATTTCAAGCAGAAAAGTAACTTTAGAGAAAAGATGAAGTCGGTGAACTGGTGTAGGGACAATTTAAGATACATTTTTCAGGATTGTTGAAAAAAATATTCGTAATTCCACAGAAACTTTTGATACGGTAAAAATAATATAGTTTAACACTAGCCACTATACAGTTGTCTGAACGCTCATCTCAACATTGATTTAAATTTTGTGATAGTCCAAAAACAATTTTTAAAAGCTTTATTGATTTCGTTCTTGTTTTAACTTTTCGACTTTTTTATTTTAGACTCGACTGCTAAACAGAACGATATTTCTCTCTTTCAACTACTTTTGGCATCTTACACAACCATTCTTGACTTGAAACTAGTTAAAATTCATAATGGACAATAATTATGATCGACACATACCAATTACAGATGGTAAAAGGCACTAATGGTATATACTATAATCATTATACACATTTCAACAAAAGAAGATTATATTAAAGGTAATTAGTGGGGTTAGATTAAACTGAAAATTTGGTTTGAAACTTCATTTCTATTTCGTGTTCGAATATAAGATTTATTTGTTTTAAGATTAGAAGAAAAAATTGTTTAGGGATTAAATATATTCCTGTTGTAGAAGTGTTACCAACTTATGCGTACGTAATAAAGTAAAAGGGACGTTTATATAGATCATAAAACTGCCACAAAATGCATACTTTAGATTTATTCGAAATCCACAATATTTATTTTGATAATTTTCGAGTTGTCGATGACTACTGTCTTTTTCGTTCTAGTCACATTTATAAATAATTCTTTTTTCTATATATATATATATATATATATATACAATAGTCAAATTTTCTTGTCATATGTGTTTCTGATGATGATGACAGTAGTCATTGAAAGCTCGAAAATTATCAAAATCAAAATAAATATTATGGATTTCGAATAAATCTGAAGTATACATTTCGTAACACTTTTATATTCTATATAAAAGGGATGTTTGTTTATCATCGAATTACAAAACTTCAGAACGATATTTTATTAAAGGTTTTTCTAAGGAGAAGTTGATAAACGGTATAAAAGTGTTTATAATGAAAATATGTTGGCTAATAAGAATTACTGCTATAGCAGAAGAGTTACTGAAAACTGGGGGCATTTTAGTAACTACTTAGTTATTTAGAACTATTGTTGATGGTTGGACAAATGAAGTTATGATTAAGGATTGAGTAACTAAACTAACTACTTTTATACAAGAGTAAAAGCTAAAACATATTTATGTTAATTAGGCTAGTAAAGATGATTGATTAATTCATCAACTTCGTTTTTTTTTAAAAAGTAAAAATATCAACATTTAATTTGACATTTCTATTTTATTTATAATGTAATATTTCTATAGATCAAACTCATCAAAAAGAAATTAAAATAAAAATTACCAAATCATCAACAACTTTTGGTAAATTTCCATAAGTGATATGATTTCGGAGAAGATATGTCACTGAAGTGGAAAAACAGAATATTTCAATTACGTGTTTTGTCGGCATTTCTATATATAAACAAAACATAGATTGTCACGATTTTGAAAGAAAAACATTAACACAAACTTCATATGTGTAGCTTGAAAACATTAGCGAATGCGTTCCTAGATGTTAAACAGGAAATTAATAAAGTATATTTGACTACTATACGATGTTAGATGATAGTATAAAATATAGAATGATTTAGAAGAAGTTAAAGGTTAAAAACCAGAGAAGAGAGATAAGGAATAAGGATAAATAGCGTGAAAAGATTAATAAAAATACTAAGATAGAAAAAGTTCATTGAAACATTACATCAATCACCAGATAAAAGCTGTGCAAGGTTGAGTATCTTAAGGAATTGTACTATCTATTAAAAATAATGATGAAAGTAAAACAATAACATCAAAATTCAACGTTACAAATCCTGCATAAAGCACCATTAACAATAAAACATACTTAAACTATAGTAAAAAATGTAAGAATAAGATGAATGGAACAACTCATCGATGAATATGTCAAAGTATTATTAACAAAGTAACATCAACTGTTAACCTTCAAGTAATACCAACACAAATTAAAGCGTATTGTTGTAAAACTATACCAAACGTGTGTACACAACATGTCACGGTACATTTAAAATGCTATACTGAAAAGTGATGTCAAACTAGAGAAATGAAATATTTAAAAACGAATTGTACAGGAATGTAATGTTATCGAATTATAAGAAAAAAAACAGATAACGTATTGTTCACTGTAAACTAGTAAAAAAATAATAAATTAACTCGTTCAGTATGTCTTATGTAAATTTTATTAATTAAGAACTAATGTTGAGTTGTTGTTTTTTGCGTAGATTCTGTAATTTGCATATATGTTGTGATACCTAATGGAGGAAGGAATTGATTTCATTTGTTTTTTAAGATAAGAAACGGAATATATTTTTGCATGGTTAAGAAGCTTGTGCGCTGCTTGCGATGTTCCATGCTTACATTATTATGAAAATTAAACGATTTCTAAAGAACTATAAGCCTATCACAAATATTTAAAGGGTATCAAGATTTGGTGATTGTATCTGGAGTAATAAAGAAAAAAACACTATGTCTGGTACTTTAATTATTAGAATTGATCGAGTCCGAACTAAGACTAGAGGTTTTAAGTTTCTAATGCGATTGATCCATATTCGAAAAGAAATCATAAAATAAATCTTGACTTTTTCTGTCTATAAAATATTAATCCATACTACAAAAGTCCTTGTGAAGTTTAGTATATTAGCTTCGATCGAGTACAAGTTTTCTCAGTCAGGTTTTTCAGTACATCGCGAAAGAGCAAGTTTTATTCAATCCCAGGGTTTCCGATTAGGGTGAGGAAGTGGGAGACCTCCCCACCCTACATTCTGATACTGTTCGCCTATTTTTGGAACTTTTGTTCTGCCCAGAATTTGTCCAACCTTTTTGTGAGCACAACACATGTCGCGATTATCTTGCAAGTATTTAATCTGATAAACTGTAAGAGACCGACAGCCATTATCGACAGCTACAAACTGCCTGGCAAAATAAGTGACAGACAGTTTTCTAAATTCTCATTGTCTGTCAAAATAAGTGGCAGACAGCCCTTCAAAATAGAAGGACAATTTAAGATCAAGTGAAAACGGAACCTCGAAACGTGTATCAAAGCTTCGAGTTTATAGTTCCATAAACACCAGAAGCTATTAATTTTGTTATAAAAGATTTTATTTCTAATCCAGGATGAGCCAAAGAACGAAATATATCGTTATTTCTGAAAGATGACTTGTATGAGAATAACTCGGATGAAAATTAAATATTGTTTTCGTTGAAAAAATAAATCCTAATGCGGAGTAACAAAAATTCTTTTAAATGAACAAATGTTTCATTTGTTTAGGAAAAAAACTGTCCCCTCAAAAAATCTTCCCACCCTCATTAAAAACGATCGGAAACTCTGTTCAATCCATTGCAACTGTTTATATCAAAGCTTGAAAGAAGTATAGCGTAGCAAGCTTTTTTAGTTGTGAACAAAGCTAAAGTTACTCATTCACTTTTTGTAAAGTTGTTGTTCAACTAGACATGCTATATTATGCAGTTAAAAAATCCTTTACGAAAGGTCACGTCAAACTTTCCACGACCGTCTCTAGAAATGCAAGGTTCTCAAGTTTTACCTGAAAAACTATGGGTTTTCGGTTTGCTATTTTAACTGTAGTTTTTGCATTTTTTCTGCATTTCAAATTGTATAGAGCAAATAGTTTTTTTTCAAAACATGGCGTATCCAGTTTTGTTTATTTGAAAATATGCTTCTTTTTAGCTTTGTAAAGTTTTTAATTTTCACTTTTCCAGTATTTTAACTATAAATTTAGAATGAAACAGAATTGTCACAAAAAATGAGCATCTGATATTGTCTCTGATATCTGTGGTGAGAATTTTAACCCGATTATATGATTATTCGAGAGATCGAATGAAAGATCTAATTCTGTTAAATCTCGACTACGGTAGCAGGTACACAGTTGAGATAAAGAAAAAAATGATACAAATAGACTTCCAATTCTATTCTGGAAATATTAAGTCTTAATCACGTTCGATGTTGGTGGCATTTTTAAGAAAAGGCTAAAAATAAGAAGGGTTATTTGAAATTCTTATTGCATGACATTCAACAAAGTTGAACGTAGCATTGAGACTCAGTGTGAATTTTTAAGAACTGAGACTATGGGCACGAACTCATCCAGTGAGCGATCCCAAACGCGTCTGTTCTAATACAAAAAAAAATAGTTTGGCCTTCTAGTCATTGGACGTTTAGTGTTTTATAACACACTTCATTAAATTGAGTAGTAAGAACATAAAAAAAAGTTGTTTTTCATGTTCTCATGTGTATTCTGAATCGCTTATCTAACATGAATGGATTATTGAAGTTTCGTTTCTGAAATAAGATATCCAGTTTAAGAATAAAAGGTTTTTAAGATTATTGAAAGTTGTTTTTCTGTCTAATTTGTCGAGAGCATCATTTTTCAACTACAGTCGACGTGTGTATGTATAATAAGAACATAAGTATGTCAAGTATCATAATTCAAAAGACTGTTTAACCGAAGATGTGCCTACATACCGTAACACGTATAACCTTCTCATTATAAAAGAAAAAAAAGATTCGGTAATATTCTATAGTGGCCAATCTCATGTGCTAAAAAAATACAAGTCAACTGAGGCATCTATTATTTTGAGATACATTTAGTATTGAATGGCTTGTTTACCAGTTTCTCTTTTTAATCGGTCCAGAATTAGTTATTTCCTATTTATATGACATTAAAAAACAACTGTATACTTTATTGATTTGATACAATATATATGGCATATGGTCTATCAGAAGAACGAAGCATTTGTGACGTCAATCGCATTCCTACGACAAACGCAATAAAAATCATGTTTTATTCACGAATAGAGAATGTAACATGGAGTTAAAAATCAGGAAAGCTACAGCCACAGGACAAAAAGAGATTTAACGTTAAGCTAACTGAGTGAAACGATAGGAGACTTATTGCTTTCCGCTTAGACGTTGCCTAGCAAAAGGTTTCTTTCTTTCTTTCAACACTGTGTTTTTTCTTCGAAGTCGGTCACTCGTTCTTGATTATCTCTGATCATATACATTCTGATCATATGTATTTATAAATAAACTAACGAAGCTAATAATTGAGTAGTACTGCTTATGTAAGGGGATGAAACGGTGTCTGAAGTGTCTTTAAGAAACGTTCCACTACGTCGGCTTTCCAATCTTCGCGAAGGGTAGTTGGCACCTAGTGTTGTTTTTGTTTCCAATTTTTATGATTTTATATAATATGCTCTTAGCATCTGTTTTTCTGCTAAATAATTTCATGTGCAATATTTCACTTCTTATATGTGTGAAATAATGATGTGATGGATATACGATTAGTAAAAAATAAATTTGATAAACCTCTTCCATTTAAAAGTATAGGTTGAAACATAAAGAACACAAAAATACGTTGTTGAGTATCTATACTCTATTGTACGTTTCAATTTCAAATAAGAAGAAAGAAGGAAAGAAATGAGATGCATAACTTTTACCTGTAAGAAAAAACGAATCGACTAGTAAATTGTAAACAATTTTTTTTTTTATCTAACCATCGTCAGCAACACATCATCCGAGGTTTGAACTTCACATCAAGAAACATAAAAGACGACAGGTATAGACGAAAAGAAAGAGAAAGACAACACTGATTTGTGTATGTGTATTTCTTCTTCTGTCACGCTTGCCTTACGCTCGTGATGTGTTGTCTAATTGAAAAGTATTCTAATAATGTTGAAAATAAACGTCATAAGTCATTTTAATGGCTACAGCTACGGCTCAAATATCATCGCCTTCTGTTGTGAATGATTTAGACTCGCAAAATTTTCATCTAAAGTGTTCTCTGTATGAAACAAAACGTAAATCAATGGCAACAGACCATGATGATCTAAAACAAATGGAGAATCAAACAACATTACGAACACCATCGATAACACAAAAACTTGGACGTTCAAAATATATGACACAAACGTCTGTTCCATCAACTCGCGTACCACCAACCACACTTCATAGTCGAAATTCTATCTCTGGTGATCTATTTCAATTAATACGGTCAGCGTTAAAGCCCTTTAAATCGGCAGCGACTATAACACCAACAAACGATGTTGTTACAACATCAAAACAAACCTCAAAAGTGAATTTAGTTCGATATCGACCATTAAGTGATAATATTACTGATCCTATCCAACAAAGTACCCGTGTAGGTAAAAAAATCATTTGTCTATCAATCATTTTGACATGTCACATAGAATAAATCATCTTGTTAAAATAAGTGTAAATTGTTTATCACTTGCGCGCTTCTCATTCTCGTTCGCCGAAATGGATGTGTGGACCGAGCTCGAAACTATCAAACAATGGTCTATAGAGCGCACAGGTCCAGAAGATAATAGATCACCGCAGCAAGCTTTGCTACATGGCTAATGGGAGCAGGCAGCTAGTAATGGAACTTATACTATTAAATACGTATATATGTTATATTCTTGAAGTGCATAAGAAAAGATTTTTCTCTCACACGGCTTGTTCAGGTAACGGTCTCCAGTTTTTGCTCTTTTTCGAAAAGTTATTGCAATAAAGCTACAAACTAATCTAAAATGGCAATTAGATGATTAAGTAGATTAAACATTTCTCTACAAGATGACAAGTGTTTCGGCTCTGAACGTTGATTCGTTATGAAAATACAGTTGTTGTACAAACGACCCCAAAAATCGATTTTTGGGTTACCTGAAAAGCGTGTCTAAAAGAGTGAACAAAAAACGGTCAAAAGAGTCAGATAGCCCGAAAATCGATTTTTGGGGCTGTTTGTACAACAACTGTATTTTCATAACGAATCAACGTTCAGAGCCGAAACACTTATCATCTTGTAGAGAAATGTTTAATCTACTTAATCATCTAATTGCCATTTTAGATTAGTTTGTAGCTTTATTGCAATAACTTTTCGAAAAAGAGCAAAAACTGATGACCGTTAGCTGGACAAGCCGCACAGTTCTCTGAAAACACTATCGTTTGGTAATAAGTAAAATAGAGGCAAAAATCTTAAAAATAAGTTTGACTTAATTGTCCTTTCAGGTGAGTGCCAAACAAGTTTTGCCATTCAATACGATAGTTCAGGGCCCATAACGAAATGGTGGCGTGTTTTAATGTTTCATAATGACATGAGTCAAGAGAAAAAAGCTCCTGTATGCAACTAAACAAAAAGAACGATGAAAACAGTTCATCATCATTGGTTCTTAAGTTAGTAAAAACTCCATTTGTTTTACTTCATTTTTCATCTCGTTACAGAGTCGTAATGATAATCACAGAGAGATAAAACTTTCATCAGAGCTTATTCTCAAAAAAATAAGACATATTTTCTACTCATATTTAGAGACATTTGTTGATAAGATTTTCTAGAAAATCAGGTTTTGTCGTCGACTTACTCTGTCGAAAATTTATCCATTCGGATTCAAATTTTTACCACACGTACTAGACACTTAAACACCCGGAGATACTCTCGATTTACCCTTTACGATGCTTTCTCTTCTTTTGAGAAACAAAATACGGCCCTAAGTTTCCGTACAGGATTTTTAGTAGTCATTATCGCCTACTATGAGGAGGCATCCACAAATGTTGAATGTTTGAACACAAACGTTATATTGCGAACGTCACTTTTTCTAATGCTCGTATTTCAGGGAGTATACATTGTGAAGAGCTCGAAGGCACCTCATTCTAGAGAAATTTTTCTACAAGGTTAAGCAGTTGGAAAAGCTTTCAAGAAATAGAGAGAATAAACGAAAGTAGAAGAACACTGTTTTGTTACCTCCAGATGAAAACTCATAAAATTCATACCTTCTCAATGAAAAGCCGCAGAGGTCGGAAACGTCTCATTTTGTAGAGGATACTTTGGTGTTTATTTTCGCTGGATGAACTTAATTTTTAGAAGTTTTTAGAAAATAAAGGATGGGATTTGTCTTAAGAGAACGCAAACCAGATTTTAATGATTAAAAGCGTGTTAAAAGCTGATTGTATTTACCATTTTTCTTCTTCGACACTGGTTTTTCGTTGTTTTTCTCTGCCTATCAGACAGTGATACTCCCTAGAAAAAAAAGTTACTCTGCCGAACATAAAAAAGGTTTAAACTTTTGTCAACATCTATATACCTTTTTAAGTTTTCGCACAGCTCGTGGTTGCCATGGAAATCATCGTCACTGGAAAAAAATTGCATGAGCAGTGTTCCGTCAGTCAAACCAAGCTTTTTGCAGTCACGGATTTAGGGTGTTGGTGGTTGCCATGGCAATCATTAGCTGTACGAAAACTTAAAAAAGTATGTAGATGGCAACAAAAGTTTAAACCTTTTTTAGGTTCGGTTTTTTAAGAGAGTAGCCTTTACACTTAACTTCTTGCTTTTTGCTTCCACTTTAATATTTTGCATATTTTCGTGAAATTATACCTTATTTTTTCATTATATTATATTTTACATTTTCTCAACACCTTGCGTATATTCGAAAGAAGGAAAAGATTTTGGCCTTTTTCCGCGAAGAATTACATCCGTATACTTACGTCTTTCTCCGAAAAAAAGCATTTCGCTATCTTCTACCTTTATTGATTCAACTGACTATGAAAAGGTGTTGTAATAAATATAAAAATATAAACTGAAAAAAGAAATAAAGTAATAGAATAAAGCTTAAATTGAGAATGAAATGTTATAAAAAGGATTACAATGGCAGGACTCAGTCAGATATAATAGTGTAATAGACCAAGAGCTTATCTTGAAGCAATATGTATGACACAGTTTGTATTGTTTGGTATGATCCAAACATTATAATTAGACAGGTACACTGAGTATAAGGGCTCTGTAAGGAAAGTACAAGCCGAATAGTAATGTAGTGGGATTGAACGAAAAGAACATCCGCTGATTCCTTCCTCCATTTCATTCCACTCCATGAGGCACACCCATCTGTGACTTTACTAAAAATGTGTATGCTCAATTATAGTACACCATTTGCATACAGTGATCCGTTTGATTTCATTTAATTGAATAATTTTGTGATTTTGAGTGTATAAGCAATGAGGGTATAGTGTTGTGGAAGAGGATGGGTGTATTGTTATTGTTCGAGCTTTAGGTTGTTTAACGTCACTGTTTTGATTCAATAGTAAGTTACAGTTCTTCCAACTTTTCACTACAAACATTCACTCTGTAGGACAACTTTGCAGTTTACAAAGAACTTATTATCCCATCACAATGTTTTCCTTTATTTCTCTTCATTTAGGCATCAGAGGATTTCATAAAATGCATGGGATGGTCGCTTAATCCACACGACAAAGAAAATCTTTTAAAGTGGAATATTGCTATGAAATATTTGTTACCAATGACATTCGACGTTACAAAAGCTGTCCAATTCTACAAATTACATGAGATTTTACGTCAGAAAGAGAATCTTGATCGAATAGCTCTAAATAATCCAAATTTAATACGAGAAATAGAATCGGGAAAGTATTTTACATTGGTAAGTGTTGTACTACTGTATTTTCACATTGATCAGTGACATTTTCACTGGAACATGAATTGATTTTCGTTCTATCTCTCGAATATGTATGTGTATGAAGTATCTCTCTCTCCAATACGTGGACTATATCTGTATTATTTTCGGTGTAGATCTTGATGTTGTTAAAAAGAGAGAATGCATGTTTTTTGTAGATCGTACAGTCCTACCGTTTGTTTGTGTGAGACTATTCACTATTCGATTAGATTCGACATCATATGGGGTGGAGGAGACTTTTCAAACATGAATGTCGAAAGATAGAACGAAAATCAAATGCAAAAAAAAGTAGTTATATCACAATGGAACACGGATGATCATATATGAAAATATAAGCATGTATGCTTTACATTATTTAACTACTAAACTTAATAGTTCAGGAATGCTGGTTCAGGGGATAGTGTTATAGGAATGCCTTTACTTCTGTGAAGTATTAGAGTTAGATTATGACTGAAACATATCTTCTTATTGATATGAGTTTGTTTTTCTTTATAGCCGATGAAATCCAGTCAGCCTATATTTGCAATATTTACTGCTTCTGTACATCAAATATCAACAACAATGACTTTGCAGGAACGTGAACATTTAACAATGCAAGCATTAATTACTCAGTTAGATGCGACTGCTGAAAGGTAAACATTGCTCGCTTCTGTTGATGCGCTAAACAGATTTTCTCATGTTGTCCAAAATTTTTACAAGTAAAATTTCAGATATGAAGAAAATAGCAGATATAGTTAATATCTTTACTCCCTATCCTCACACAGTGCAGTTACATAATGACATGTGCATAATTTCCTTAAAACTGTTGAACTCATTTGACAAGAAAATTACTGAACTGAAATTTTAGTATGAATGTACAAAAAAACGGATTACAATTTATTTATGATATGCAAAATTACACAACGTCCAATACTGATCATAGTTTAACCAAAAAAGTCTTAAAACTATTACAGGTAAGATCATGTTTGGTTAGCGCTCTTTTTCTGCTCATAATTAATTCCATTCTCTCTTTAGGGTGTTTATCCTATTATGTTAAAACATGTATATATTGTTGGTGCTCCAGTATCGTTCAAAGTTCCTTTCGAGGTATTATTAATAATGTTGTGAGAGGATGGAAGTCAATTTTTTGAGATTGCAGGAACAAGATGTTTTATCTATTATTTACAGTCTAGTTGTAAATAAAGCATTCTGCAAAACGCAAGTGTTACTTCTGTTGACCATAGCTTTTCTATACTCTACTATAGAACGTGACATTATATACTCGTGATGAAATGTTATCATTTTTGTCCACCCAATCTTACACAATGGCTGAAATTCCCGCTAATTTCGGTGGTTTATACGATCCTAAGGTAGAGGATGGTGAACGTCATCGAATGTGTCAGAAAGTTTTACTGAATCCACAATCAACGTGTCACAAGTATTATTCCGCTGACAATTTCCAGCCTATGAAATCAACGATTTTGTATGTAAATAATGACGCAGATAATATAAATACAATAAAACAAAATAGTACTTCGAATATAACAGCATCAAATTCATCACCAAATTCGTCGTCGTTAGTTGCTATTGTCACATTAAGAAGAAATCAACCGCAACAAGCTCAAACACAGGTGTCAAAAGCACGAAAACGAGAATCATCAGCATCATCGTGTGATTCCGAAAAACGTCGACGTTCCAATGATAACCAAATAGAAAAGGAAGAACAAACCGCTCAATTAATACAAACATACAGGTAGGCACGCTCTCAATAGAAGATCTTTTGCTGTCTGAATGAAATTTATTAAACTTTTCTTAGTTGACTTTTTATACACTTATTTGCACAAAGCAAAAATTTGATATCGGATACGTTTTAGATGCTTGATTTCAAGTATTTGACTGAAAAATATAGTGAAAACTAAAACCTCCATAATACAAAAAATAACAGAAAAGAAAGGAAAAGTTGATCAATGAATATAAACTCATCTATCTATAAATATGTGTTGCTTTTTTTGCACATTATGTTCAAACATCCACTTTTGTCGGTTAAAAATACCGACAAGAAATAAGACTGGAGAAGAGTAATAGAATGTGAACATTTACTATTTTTATTGGCAACAATGATTCACCAAATATTATGTTTTTTAATATAATCCCGTTTAGTTCATTACTGTTCGCTAAACTGTAAGTCAGATGAAAATATCTTCATATTTTTAGCTTCTAAGTAAACTTAAGGCACTTTTGCCAACTCTACCAAATCACAGAGTCACTAAGTGACGATCGACGAATGTTGATGATCGACATTTGTTTTTGTCAAAAACGTTTATTTTTCATTGAAAACCGTTATCTTTTCACCTCGTCAGTGGTATGTGGCTTTTATTTTCACCTCTTTTTTATCCTTATGCTTGAATGCGTACAGATGTATATGTTTAACTCTCTCTTTCTCTATAATCAGTAGTTAACATGACATGTATGTGAATAAATCATGAATCCCTTTATCTTTTCACGATTTAACTATGACAAACGATTTTCATTCACTCCTTCTAATTATCGTCATAATATACTATCGAATCATGTTCAATTAATCAATCACAATAGAAACTATTCACCTAATGATTTTCTATTGAATCGTCTTAATATACCATCTCATTCTTATTATTGGCAAAGACGATTTTATCATACGGAGAAAGATCCACGTAGTCATAACAACAACAGGTGAACAATTTTTCTTTGATCGAATTGGTCATGTTCTTTAGCTTTTCTGTTTCGTATATTTTGTTTTAACTGAGATATGAAATCTAAGAAATTAAGATAAAATTATTATTGTATTCTTTCAATCTTTTTTTTCTCTCGTTCTATACCAAAGATGTAGTAGTTCTTCAACCACATGATTAATCTTTATATAGTTTTATAATGTCGATCTATTGTTGAGCTAGAAGATAATCAAATATATTGAACAGTTTTTGATACTCGATGATTCGATGATGTATGTATGCGGTTTTAAGATGATACTGTCATAATGATTAAAATTGAAAACTCGAAGTCTTTAAACGGTCTGGACAGCTAACTTTTCTGCCGGAATGAAATTCCGTAACAATTTTTTTACATCTTTTTTTCTTATTTTGAACGGTCATACACTCACAAACCTGAAACATCTCACGTTAAAGAGAAAAGTGTGCTGAAGTTTTTGAGACGTTCCCGCAGTCTACATGTTCTTTCATTCAAAAACTATGATGAAAATACAAACGTCTACTT